CTCCTGTCAAGATCTATAGCTTTGGAAACCCTGTACAGGGTTGCTATGGGTCGGAATCGACTCGGCGGCACTTAACAACAACAACAGGCTTGGGGATGGTACACTGTGACCCACAGACCAAATGCATCCCACCACCTGTTTTTATAAATAAAGTTTTATTAGAATGTCCAGTCATTGGGTTGCCTGTGGCTGCTTTCACAGGATGGTGGAGTGGCGTGATTGCAGTCAAGACTGCAGGGTCCACAGAGCATACAGTAGTTACTCTTTGGCTCGTGACAAAGATGGCTAATCCCTGCTCTAGAAAAGTCACTAGAGTGTGACTTCAGTTTGGGAGATGGTACTATCAGGCAATCTAGATGGTTTGTTTGAGCAGTGCTTTACAATGAATCTGCTTGATTTTATTTCACTTCTACACTGTCTTTTGAATTTCCTCTTACTTTAAGATCTTTTTACCCTCTCAGCTTTACCCAGTGTCCTAGATTGAAAGCTGAGTTCCAGGTGTCTTTGTTCTGTTCTTTCACCTTACTATACTCCATCAGTCACCAAGATTGTATCGAGTCTCCAGGCTAAATAGTTCTCAGATCTGACTATCCCCATTCCTACCAGCCTGGTTTAAATGACCATCACTTCTTGTTTACTTCTTCAGCCTTCTAACTGGGGTCTTGTCTCTACCTTATGGGTTGCTTCCAACCCATTTCACTCACTGGACCCAGAATAATCTTTCTAAAACCCAGATCCTAATGACTCGGGTCATATTTCTACTTAAAATCTTCCAGTGACCCCTGTGGCTCTCAGGATAAAGCTCCAAATTCCTCAGCAAGGCTGTATCAGTTAAGGTTGTTGTTGTTATGTGCTATCAAGTCAGTTTTGACTCATAACGACCCTGTATAGGGTTTCCTGGTGTGGCGCTGTGGGTTAATGTGCCAGACTGCAAAGCTGTTTTGAACTACAAGGTTGGTGGTTCAAGCTCCTATACAGGGGCACTTTGGGTCAGAACCTACTCGGTAGCGCTTAACAACACCAAATAAGGTTTTCAAGGAGCCGCTGGTGAGTCTGAACTGCTAACCTTGTTGGGAGTCTTCCTCTTTCTTACAGACCCTCCACCTCACCAAGCATGATGTCCTTCCTTCTCCAGCAAGTGCTCCCTCCTAATAACATGTCTGTAATTTGAGAGACCAAGTCTCGCCATCCTGGCTACTGAGGAGCATTCTGGCTGTATTTCTTCTGGTAGTCCGTGATATTTTTAATATTCTTCTCCATCACTGTAACTTGAATACATGAATTCTATGGTCTTTATCTGCTATAAAGAGGTCTTATGCATCAGATTTGCCAAATAAATTGCATCTTTTGATTTCGTGGGTGCTCCTTCCATGAGTTTTGATTGAATCCAAGCAAAATGAAGTGCCTGACAACTTCAGTCTTTTCTCTGTTTATCAAGATGTTATTTATTGGTCCAGTGGTGAGGATCTTTGTTTTTTTTTACATTGAGGTGCAGCCCATGCTGAAGGCTTTGATCTTCATCAGTAAACGTTTTAAGTTCTCTTCGTTTTTAGCAAGCAAGATTGTATCAACTGCATATTGCAGGTTGCTGATGAGTCTTCCTCCAAACCTGATGCCATGATCTTCTTCTTATAATCCAGCTTCTCAGATTAATTGCTCAGCATACAGATTGAACAAGGATGGTGTAAGAATACAGTCCAGGTGTACACCTTTCCTCATTTTAAATCATTCAGTATCCCCTTGTTCTGTTTGCATGACTGCCTCCTTCTATACGCACCCCCTTTCTTGAATATTATGAAGAAAAAGTGAGGCAAAATTGGTGACTTTGAAAATTCTGTTTGAAGAAATAGCAAATGAACCTCCCCAATTTGTTCTCCTTTCCAGCTGCTCATACTGTTTTTCATGAAAGAAGGTGAAGTAGTTTATTGCACAGAGGGACTTTTGTGTGTCTAAATCTCTTTATGAGCCACCCCCCCCCCCAAAAGCTGGTTTTCCTTTCCCATCTCTTTTCCTGGGATGTTTTCTGCCTCTAACAAGTTTTGCCTAATTCTAGCACCTTCATGAAATTCGGGCCACTAAGCTTTCAGTGAATGGATCCATCCATTTGGAATAAGTCATGGACCTGTGCAAAGCGATAGACAGCCTTGAGTATCTCCCTGCGGAGATTGATGGTTAGGTTCAAGCTGCTGTAATACTGTGGAGTTGCTAACAACTGTTGATCTAGAAAGCCCAGTAGTTTCAGGAAGGTAAATTTGTAAATGGCAAAACATTTTCAGAGGCATCTCACATGTCTCCTCAACCTCCCCAAGCACTGTTAGTGTTTGTAGAGAGGCTCCGAAGGAAACAAAGAAGCAATCACAAAGACACTGTGTTCAGAATCCTCATTCACGTTGCAAAGAGGGCCAGTTTTATTGTTAAGTGCCATCCAGTCAGTTCTGACTCATAGCAGTCCTATATAGGGTTTCTGAGGAGTAACTGGTGGGTTTGAACCACTGACCTTGCAGTTAGCAGTCCAGTGCTTACCCTATAGCACCATGCCAGGACTTCCCATGAGAAAGAGACTTTATTTACTTGCCCCTAAAATGGGAGCTTTAGAGCCGATGCTGCTCTTTGTCAGCCTGATGGTGGAGAAGAACCAACCAAAATGCCCTGTGACTGAGCCTGTCACTCCTCTCTCTGCTGGCTGGTGGGATGTCTTGACACACACCTGGGGTCCCTGCAGTGGGCTATACGCAAAGACTTGGGACCAGAACATGTTTCCTAGGGATAAATTCAGGAGTGGAAGGTCAGAAGAGACTCCAGAGCCAAATTGTAGCCTTCAACACCATTCGCTGGAAGCTCTTGTATGCAGGAGGCTCTTGGGCCCTCACTCTGCCATTAATAAAGCTGACGCGTGCCTTTCTATTTGACCCAGGGATCTTGGAGTGCTTGTATTTCCCGGCCTTCTAGTAATGCCTGGCCCCTGAACAGCTTCACTTGGGTGTCTGACAGGCACTTCCAACTCAGCAGGTCTAAAAGTGCACTCCTGAAACCCCCTTCTCCTGGGCTTCCTGTCAGGGGGACTAACCTCAACATTCGTTTGGTATCCCAAGAAGAAACTGGGGGTTGTTTGAGCACGGGATTTCCTTCCTGAGCTAGTACAGGAGTCTCCTCTCTTCCCTTGTCCTGCATTCATCCCTCGCTGCTCTATCCTGCTTGTCCTTTCTGCCTCAGAGGAAGCATCACCTTCGGCAATGCACCCCTGTGGCCCCCAGACTTCCCCACCACAGCCATTTTCCCATGGAAATGGGACTACATGTTCATTCTCTTTGTCTCCCACTGGACTCAAAATAACTGTACACAAGGTCTGTGTCTTGAATATCAGGACATGCCTAAATATGTTCAATAAATATTTCTGTAAGGAATTACCCTCACGCCTGGGAGTTCCTGAGGCAGTATAGCCCAGTCTAGGTACACCTGATGGTGTACAAAGGGTCTCCAAAAAGTTTGTGGAAAAATGGAATTAAAAAATAATGGGATTTTTCCATGGACTTTTGAAATCCCTTCATCTAGCTTGGTGGTTACAAGCCCAGCTCTGAGAGCACCTGAGGATGGCTAGGAAGTTTTGCATCTTGAGGCCTAGGTTCAAACCCTGCTATTTGTGTGATCTTGGGTGAGTTACTTAATGCCTTGATCCTCAACTTCTTCTCTAACAAGGTGGGAATGAGATAGTCCATGCAACACACTGAGAGCATCATGTGTTTAGTGCTTCATTACACCTATAATATAATTAACAGTATAATTAGTATCCTTAATGGAAAAAAGAAAGCTATAAGAAATCCTTGACAGTAGAAACCAGGCATGTTGTTTGCCTGCATTATGAGTTTGGAAGAGGTGGAGACTTAGATATGAACCCAGGTATCAAGCTAGAGCAGTTAAGACATATGTGCAGATGAGTTTGCCCCAGGAAAGAATGAACAGAGAAGGGAAATGGGGAATGGAAGCTAGAGCCTTGAGAAATGCTCCATTTGAGCATAAGACAAGTCAAAAGCAGAAAGGGAATTGGAGGATAGGATTTCAACTAGGGGGCAATCCAAGAGATGGTGACTAGTCTGATGCTAGAAACAGGAGTTCCGTATAGATGGTCAAAGGCACCAGGCGAGCCAGAGGGTCCGTGAGGAAAAGACTAGAAAGAGGCAGCTAGAATCTGCTAAATGGGGTAGCATTAGCTCTCTTGGGAGCATGCCTTTGCAGTAGAGTTGGAGGAAGAAGCCACATTGCAAGAGGTTGGGGAGCGCTGGGTTAGGGATGGAGTAAACGCTCTAGGGCAGTGTCTGTGATGGAGATTGGGGTTTGGGAAGAGGAAATAGGCAGTGTCATGTGGCAGTCATGGTTTGTTTCTCAGCAGAACAACAGTCTGCAGTACTGACCAACAGTCTGCAGCAACTGAAGGGAGGGAGTTCAGGAGTTCTGGGCTGTCCTTGTCACCCAGTCCCATGTGCTCTGTCTTCAGGCCAATTCTCTCTGATCCCTGCACATTCAGTCACTGATCCCATAACACTCAGTGACCACATACACTCCTGCTATCAAACTCTCACTTTTTTTTTTGAAAAGAGCTGTACGAGGGGGTTTCAAAACATTCATGGAAAAATTCTATCCTTTCATTCTGTTTCCCACATATTTTTGGAAGCCCCCCTCGAATTTATTAGAGGGTTTATTATGAATTGAGCATTCTTAAATTGGGTTGTTTTTATTGGGATGGTGGGTTTTGTTAGAGCTCAGAGTGAGATCTTCAGTTGTCTTTCCTTAGTGTGAAATGTGGGTCCTTTAGGAATTGGTGTGTCCTGTGATTAAAGTTCACTTAACTCTGGGAGGAGCCTTGGGACGGAGTAGCCATGCCTGCCAGAGGTCTTTCTGAGGTTCGGCAACCTGGCCGTGCTTGACCTGCATGAATTTTCCCACAGTGTTTTGATTGTTGCCTTTTCATGCATTTTCATCCTCCCTCTGGTTTGTTGTTCCAGTCTGAACAACCGGCCGAGGCTGAGGTGCCCCCACAGTCAAGCAGAGCCCCTTCGCAAGCTTCGGAGAGTAGCCCCACCAAGAAGGTAAGGCAGCAGGATGCTCTGAGGAGCTTCCTGAGTCCCACGCTGGGCTGCTGGCCTCCATGAACCAATCTGTGATTGTGCATTCAGAATGCCCTGAAATGAATGTGAACAGTCCAGATTGCCTAGAGTTTGGATCCTATATTAAGGTGAGATCCGGAAGATTCCTGGACTTAATGCTCTGATGTCACTGACAGTTTGTGTGCTGCTCCTTGCTCTCCCAGCTAACCGTGGCGCTTGCTTTCTGCAGGACCAGGAGGGATTGGGAGAAGGGGCAAATATCTAGTGCAGAACCCGACACACTCTCACTAAGTCCTTATGAGTCTCCTTTCTGGTCTTTGGACCAGTGTCTCTTCTTGTAGCCCTGTGCCTTCCGCTCTGTCCACATGTTTCGGAACCCCTGTTATTTAATCAGGAAGCTCCACTCCTCGTGTTCTCCACGTGTCTTCGCCCCTTCTCCTCTGTCCTTCCTGAGGCTCTTCCAGGGCCTTGTCCCCTCAGAGAACAGGGTCCAAGAGGACAGTTCCCAAGGACCAATAGCCAGGCCAGCTGTCCCCATTCAGAAGGCATATGGGCTCTTCTGTTAGACTGTGTGTGGGAGTTACGGGTAGACAAATGATGAGTACATGACTAAAACCTTTATCAGCCTTAAAACTTATACAACAAAGACCCCAAAGGGAAGCAGGAGGTACCTGGGCCCTGAGTTTCCTTCAGATGTGAGATGCACATTGGGTGAGTTTTTGAGTTTTAAAAGCAAGAAGGCAGCAGAGACAGCCAGGTAGGAAAGGCTCCATTGGGGAGGGATTGAAAACCCAGAGAAGCTGTGTTCACGGAACAACACCAGAGCTCTGGATCTAGCATAAGGAACCAGGGTGTCAGTTTCCTGCATGCACAACTGGAAAAATCACGATATAAAGGAAAATACTGAGATGTAGGACTCGCTCAAGACGGGACTCCCTCTGGGGCCACCCCGCCCAGACGGAGTTCAGAGGGTGGGGCTACATCCAGACCGGCACAGGGAACTGGTGCTAAAAGCAGTGCAGTGACATTTGCAAAAGGAGGTATGGGGGAGTCTACACATTTTTTTCCTCCTCTTCCCTGTTGCGCCTTCTTTGCCATGCCCAGACACCTTCAGGTGGTGTGGACCCCACAAAAAAAGTTCAGCACTGAGCCCACAGTTTTCCCATGGCACAGAGAGAAAGAGCTTGGCAGCTGCTTATGATGTCACCCTCAGGGTCGTAGCCCTAAAATTAACTTGTGCAGGACCCTTTATTCTAGCCTATCTAGCAAGAGAAAAGCAGGCCCATCAGGCCTGACAGACAAACCATATGAACAATCTGTAAAACCCCAACATAATAGGATGCAACTATCTCAAGAATTACGCTATGCACACGTAGATACCTAACTGACATTCAGAGACAAAAATAGGAGACAATCTTTCTCCCATTAACTTCTCAATATCTATCTGTGCACCTCTACGGCTGTGACAAGAGGAGGGGCCTGAGCGAGTGGACACCCCCACCCACTGCTGGAGGCTTCTACGATGCACAAACACTGCCTGTGTAGCAAGGCTACTGGACAGTCGGCCACAGTTTTATTTTTGTTTCAAAGTGGTGGCTTTTTTCTCTGCTTTTATATTGTCTTCTTTTGGTCCTTTTGATCAAACCTTTTTCCTGGAGGTGAAAGCTTTTTCTATGTTACCCAAGAAGAGACATCAATTGAGGCCATATAGCCAAGCTACAAGCATACCCCGTAAGAGTCCACCATTGAGACAAGAGCCAATAACAGCTGCTAAGCATTACATGCGAAAAGGGAAGCCCATCTCCTGATTATATCCACCAGGAGACATCCAGTAAGCTTAAAAACACAGCAACAAACATCCATTTAAGCATTAAAAAAACCCACACAACTACTGGAAATGACAAACAAAACACACAACAAAAGATCTCAAAACATGTCCAAAACCAGAAAAGAGTAACAGACAAATGAGCTGGAGGCAGACAAAGGCTCCCCAGAAGAGGAAGAGCAGGTTTTGGATTTGTCTGAGAAGGAATTCAGAAGAATGATATGGAAACAAATTCAAATGCTCCAAAAATGGGTGGAGGAAAACAAGGAAGAAGTCAGGAAAGTACTACAAGAGCAATCAAACAAGATTGATACAGCATTGGAAACAATTCAAAACCTGCAAAAAGAGGTCCAGGTGATTAATAATAAAATATCAGCAATGGACAATACACTGAAAGGGAAAAGGAGTGGAATTGGAGAGATGGAAGCCAGAACTAGTGAGCTGGAAGACAGATCTCTCAATACTGCTAAGATAGAAGAGCAAGCAGAAAAAAGGATAAAAAATTCTGAAGAGAGTCTAAGATTCATGCTGGATAACATGAAGAGGAACAACTTAAGAATTATTGGCATTCCAGAACAGGAAGAATCAGAGAAGTCCACAGAGGAGATAGTTGAAGAGCTTCTGGAAGAAAATTTCCCTAACATCTTGAAAGATGAGAAGATAAACATTCAAGAAGCCGAACATATCCCAGGAAGGATAGACCCCAAAAGAAAGTCACCAAGACATATAATAATCCAACTCTCCAAAATCAAAGACAAGGAGAGAATCCTAAAAGTGGCCAGGGAAAAGAGAAGTGTCACTTACAAAGGCAAGTAAATCAGATTAAGCTCTGACTTCTCAGCAGAAACCAGGCAGGCAAGAAGGCAATGGGGAAACATATACAAAACCCTCAAAGAAAAAAACTGCAACCAAGAATCGTCTATCCAGCAAAACTGTCAATCAAATATGATGGTGCGATCAAAACATTCCAGGATAAACAGAATCTAAGAGATTTTGTCAAAAACAATCCAGCACTTCAAATCATCCTACAGGGGTTCTTTGGATTGGAAACCAACAAGAACAGACAACAACCAGAGATTGACAGGTGTGGCAACACCACCTGAAACTCAGACGACAGAAATCAGAGTCCAGAACAGAACAAAACTGAAACAACAAATTCAAAGGAGCTGGGAGGTCAACCAAAAATCAAAATAATACCAATGTGAAAGAAGGTATAAATGTAGGAACAGAGATCCAGATAGTGAGGATGTCAGGTAGATTACAGGATACAATTGTTGTTAGGTGCCATTGAGTCTGTACCGACTCATAGTGACCTTATGCACAGCAGAACAAAACACTGTCCGATCCTGGGCCAACCTCACTACTGTTGCCATGCTTGAGTCCATCGATGCTGCCACTTGGCCAATCCGTCTTCCTCTTTTTCTCAATAAACAAGCAGGAGTGGCAATTCTAATCTCTGATAAAATAAACTTTTAAGGCAAAAACCAGCATAAGAGATAAAGAAGGACACTATCTCATATCAAAGGATCAATTGAGCAAGACGACATAAACATAATAAATATCTACGCTCCCAGTGAAAAAGCACCAAGATATATGAAGCAAACCTTACTAGAATTGAAGAAAGAAATAGATAAAGCTACAATTATAGTGGGAGATTTTAATACGCCACTTTTGAAGAGGGACAGAATAACCAGAAAGAAACTTGGCAAAGTTAGAGGAACTAAACAGCACAATCAACCAACTTGACCTCATAGACATGTACAGAACATTCAACCTTACAACAGCACAATATACTTTATATTCCAGTGCACATGGAACATTCTCCCGATTTGACCAAGTGTTAAGTCTCACAAAGGAAGCTTCCATAAATTTACAAACATCAGAATACTACAGAGCATCTTTGCAGACCACAGTGCTATAAAACTAAAACTAGAAATCACCAACAAGAAGATTAAGGAAATTTAGTTGAATACATGGAAACTGCACAGCACTGTGCTGAAAAGTGGCTGGGTCAAAGAAGAAATTAAACGTGAATTCATAAAGTTCCTAGAAACAAACGAGAATGAAAACACAACATACCAAAATCTTTGGGACAGGGTGAAAGCGGTGCTGAGAGGACAATTCATTGTGATAAATGAGCACATCCAAAAAGAAAGAACCAAAGTTAACACAGCATCTCCAACAATTAGAAACTGACCAACAGAAGGAACCTACAGTTACCAAAAGAAAAGAAATAATAAAGATAAGAGCAGAAATAAATGAGGTGGAAAATAGAAAAACTATAGAAGGAATCAACAGGACAAGAAGCTCATTCTTTGAAAGGATTAATAAAATTGACAAACCATTGGCAAACCTAACAAAAGAAAAGAGGAAGAAGACACAAATAACTCACATTAGAAACTACATGGGTGATGTCACAACAGAACCAAACGAAATCAAAATATTAAAAACAGAATACTATGAAGTGTTGTACTCCAACAAATT